AAAAAAAAAAAAAACAAACAAAACCAAAAAACCCTCCTTAAAAAAAAATATATATATATATATATTATATATATATATAAAATAATATATATATACACACACACACATATATATAATTCTCCACAGATTGGTTACATAGATTAAATGCAATCCCAATCAAAATACGAAACTGCTGCTAAATTTCACACAGAAAGAACCTAGAATAACTAAATCACTTAAATTTTAGGGGGACTCACACTACAGGATATTAAGACTTACTATAAAACTGGAATAATTAATTTTTTAAAAACCTGGAATAATCAAGGCAGTAGTGTGTTGTAGAAAAATGCCACTGATCAATGGAACAGAATTTAGAGTCTAGAAATATCTCTATACATATATGGTTGACAGATTTTCAAAATTGTTACAAAAGTAATTCAATGAGAAAAGGATAACCATTTCAATGATACATTTTTGGATAAAACACAAACCACAAAACAAAAAAATTGGTTAGTTGGAACTTCATCCAAAATTTAAAAGCCATTGTTAAGAAAAGTCACTGTTAAAGAAAAAATCCACAGAATGCAAAAAAAATATAGCTGAAAAGCACATGAAAAGATGTCTAACATCACATCATTCAGTGAAATGCAAATTGAAACTACAATGCGATACCACTTTAAATTCACAACAATGGGGGCATCTTGTAGCTCAGCCAGTTGGGCATCTGCCTTTGGCTTGGGTTGTGATCCCAGGGTCCTGGGATTGAGCCCCATGTTGGGTTCCCTGCTCAGCAAGGAGTCTGGTTCTCCCTCTGCCCTTCCCACTGCTCATGCTCATTCTCCCTCTTAAATAAATAAATGAAATCTTAAAAAAAATATTCACGAAGATGGTTGAAATTTAAAACACCAAATGTTGGCAAGGATACAGAGAAACTTTGATACACTGTTGCTGGAAACATAAAATGGTACAACAAATACTCTGAGAAAAGTCTGGCAGTTTCTTTTTTTTTTTAATATTTTATTTATTATCTTATAGATAATAAAAATTATTATCATAGGGTAGGTATGTGTTTAGTTTTATTAGAAACTGCCAGAATGGGGCGCCTGGGTGGCTCAGTGGGTTAAAGCTTCTGCCTTCGGCTCAGGTCATGATTCCAGGGTCCTGGGATTGAGCCCCGCATTGGGCTCTCTGCTCACCAGGAAGCCTGCTTCCCCCTCTCTCTCTGCCTGCCTCTCTGCCTACCACCCAGGCACCCCATTCTGGCAGTTTCCAATAAAACTAAACACATACCTACCCTATGACCAAGAAAAACATATGTCTGAACAGACTTGTACAAGAATGTTCACAGCCACTTTATCTCTAACAGTCAGAAATTGAAAACTGCCCAGGAGTTCATCAAAAGGAGAAGACCTAAATAAACTGTGATATATTCAGTCAATGGACTACCACTTACTATTACTCAGTAATGATGAGGAATGAGCTACTTGTATATGAAACACGGATGAATCTCAGAACACGCTTAGTCAAAGAAGCTTTACACAAAGGAGTACCTACTGCATAATTCAAGTTCATGAATAGGTAAAACTAAGCTATAGTGAAAATCATAAAAAAAGCATTACCTCTGGGGTAATGGGTACTGGACTGCCTGGAAAAGGGTGTAGAGAGAATTTTTTGGAATGATGTTATGTTGTATAACCTGAGTGGTTTGAGTTACACAGGTGTATGTATTTGTCAAAACTCACCTAATGGCACATGTTAGTTTCATGCAATTCACCGTACATGAACTTACATTTTAAAAAGTGTGTTGTGTGTGTGTGTAGTTATTTTTATGTATAATGAAGTGTTGAGGGGTAAAATCTATTGATATCTACCATTTATTTCAAAATGCATCACAAAACGAAATAAACTGTCGAATGGAAAGAGGAATGGGTAAATGGACAAACACACCAAAGCAAATATATCAAAATATTAGCTGCAGAATCTAGCTAGTGTATATATGGATATTCACTGTACAATTCTTTCATATTTAAAGTTATCATAATAAAATGGAAAAAAGTCTTATTATTTTTTTTTTTTAGATTTTATTTATTTATTTGACAGACAGAGATCACAAGTAGGCAGAGAGGCAGACAGATAGAGAGAGAGGAGGAAGCAGGCTCCCCGCAGAGGAGAGAGCCCGATGTGGGGCTCGATCCCAGGACACCGGGATCACGACCTGAGCCGAAGGCAGAGGCTTTAACCCACTGAGCCACCCAGGCGTCCCCAAATTCTTATTTTTAAACTAAAAGTTGCAAGAGACTTAAAAATTTTCAGGCATGTGGGTGCCTGGGTGGCTTAGTCAGTTACGCATTCAATTCTTGGTTTCCACTCAGGTCATGATCTCAGGGCTGTGAGACCGAGCCCTGCATCAGGCTCCACATTCAATGCAGAGTCTCCTGGACATTCTCTCTCCTTCCGTTTCCCTCTCCTCCTCTCCCCATTCACACACGCACTCTCTCTCAAATAAATAAATGAAATCTTTAAAAAATGCTCAGGCATATTTGAAAAAGAACCAAATGCTACTTATAGAAATGAAAAATGTATGGCTACAATTTTTAAAACATCAACAACAGTGGTGCGTAGTTATATGAATTCACAGAAAAAAAAATCACTTAAAAGCAAAATGGACAAAAGATTTGAACACACTCTTCACAAAGAGGAACACAGAATAAGACATGAAAAATTGCTCAACCTAAAAGCAACCTCAGAAATAAAAATTAAAACCACAATGAACTACTATTTTATACCCATTAGACTCACATGATATAAAGTAAGACTGCAACAAGTGCTGGTGAGATTAGAGCAAAAATAAGTCTTACATGCTGCTAGTGAGTGTGAACTGATACAAGTACTGTGCAAAACATCTGGCATTACAAGTTAAAGATGCTTATATAATCTGACTTCACATTCCACTACAGAAAATCTTATAAATGTGCACCAGGTAACTGATAGGAGATTTCACAGTGGCATTGTTTATAATAATAAAATAATGGGAACAACAGAAATGTCCATTATCAGTAGAATGGAAAAGAAATTTTTGATATACAGTCAAACAATGGAATCCTAGAGCACAGTGAAAACAAATGGATGAAAGCTACAGTTGTCATTACCTTGGCTTAATCTCAGGAATATAATAGTAGGTAAAAATAAGCAAGCTGTAGAAGAACAGATGTAATATGGATCCATCAACATGCTGTGTAGGAATAGAAATACATGTACAAAACTATAAAGAAAAACAAGTGATAATTATAAAATTCAGGATTTTCATTTCATTTGAAAGAGAGAGAAGATCCAGGAGAGGCCTAAAAGGTAATGAAAATATTTTACTTTTTTTTTTTTTTAAGATTTTATTTATTTATGCGACAGAGAGAGACACACGGTGAGAGAGGGAAGAGAAGCAGGGGGAGTGGGAGAGGGAGAAGCAGGCTCCCTGCCGAGCAGGGAGGCCCATGCAGGGCTCGATCCCAGGACCCTAGGATCATGACCTGAGCTGAAGGCAGATGCTTAATGAATGAGCCACTCAAGCGCCCTGAAAATGTTCTACTTAAACTGGTATTCAGATGTGCCTTATATGGGTCATCTTTATATGTTACATAATAATTTGTAAATATTATTTTGGATTTATTCAAATTTTATTTAATATAGTATATTTAATAAAATATAATAATACATGATTCCTAAAACACATAAAACTGTAAAATTGGTCCTTAATAATATTCTTTGCCTACCCGAAAAATCTTGTGCATCCTCATGGTGGCTGAACAAAAGATAAATCTTGTGAGAAGCAAGCGAAGAAACTCATCTCCAAAAAACTGAAGAAATGCTTGATCTGCAAAGAGGAGAAAGATGATAGTAAAAAGATGCTTAAAAGAAAAACTCAGAAAGTTTGGGAAAACCTTCTCGACTTTCCTGCCTTCAACAAATACCTTTAAAAATTCAAACAATTTCAATAATATAAAACCATTATAGTATGTTAAGTGTGGTTATATTAGTAGGGTACCTATTGAACGTGAATGGGTCAGTAGCTGGGCAATATCACGGTTGATTTTTCGAAGATATTCTTGACACTTTTCCCATAGGCCTCTGCGCATGCTTGACAATCCAGAGACAAATAGGAAGGCCATTAGAGGATTGTTCAAAAAGAGAGTGAAGAGGCTACCTCGTTGAGATTGATCTGTAATAACAAACATGTTATATATATACATATATAGACAACAATATATATAGTTTTGCAAAAGATAAGAAATGCACTTGAGGAATATTTCAATATGATGATAATATACAAAATTAAAGCTGTATCATTAAATCATAATTCAATAAAGTAAATTCTGTCTGCAAGTACAAAAACATCCCAGGTATGCTGCTTTCTGCTAAACGAACTCAAGACAGAGCCTCGTAAACTTAAGGGAAATGAAAAAGGAACATATTCCTTTGCCTTTTTCACTCCAACTAACAAATTTTACCCAGATATGGCAAGTACCTGGGCAGCTCATGACAGAATTCTCGTATGAGTATTAGAATTGGCAATCTTTTTCATTCCCTTTTGTTCGTTGCTCTTTCTTTGCTTATCCCTTAAATATCAGTATTTTCTTTCTTTGACCCTATATATTGCTGATCTCACCTACTCCCATAATTTCAGGTATCACTTGCATGCGTACTGACTCCCAGTTCTCTTATCCACGGCCTAGACTGAGCTCGTTAGGCCTAGAACAGCACTGCCCTACAAGAGCTACTAGACACTTAAAATATGACTGGTCCAAAGTGAGGTACACTGTGAAATGTAAAATGTAAACTATGTGTAGGACTTCAAAGCCTCACTACAAAAAGGCAAATGAACAGAACTTTTACCTGTTAAACTTTTTTCAATGTGGCTACTTGAAAATTTAAAATTACATGTGATTTGCATCATCTTCTATTGAACAGAGTTGCTCTAGACTATAATATTCAACCTAAGTTTCAAGGGTAACCTCAAACCCAAGATGTCAGAAATGGAAAGGAAATTCTTCCCCCTTGTGTTCTCTACAAATCTGCTTCTTACCCAGTACCACCATTTCTATCAGCAACTTAGCCAGAAACCCAGAAGTTCACCTCTGCCTCCTTCTTCTCCCTTATTCTCTCATATCCAACCCATCACCAAATCCTGCTGGCTCTCTGGGCTCAGCATCTTTTGGAGCCACCACTATCTCCCTGTTTCCATCAATGCTCCTCTCCAATCCATTCTCCACAAGGTGAATGAATGCTCTTCCATGCTACTCTTCTGTTCACAATCTTTTGATGGCACCCCCTTGTCTTCCAGTTAAAGCTCTTCACAAATCCTGAAAGGTTTTCATGATTCAGTCACACAATCCCACACCCTATCCTTCCACTAGCAGGATGTACTTTAATTTCCCTAAATGTTCCATAAACTGAGGCACCTGGCTGGCTCAGTGGGTAGAGCACATGACTCTTGATCTTGGGGTTTTGAGTTTGAGCCCCACGTTGGGTATATAGATTACTTAAGGGGCGCCTGGGTGGCTTAGTGGGTTAAAGCCTCTGCCTTCGGCTCAGGTCATGATCCCAGGGTCCTGGGATCGAGCCCCACATCGGGCTCTCTGCTCAGCAGGGAGCCTGCTTCCCCCTCTCTCTCTGCCTGCCTCTCGGCCTACTTATGATCTCTCTGTCAAATACATAAATAAATAAAATCTTTAAAAAAAAAAAAGATTACTTAAAAATAAAATCTTAAAAAAAATGTCCCATAAACTTTCTCGTCACAGAGCTCTTATGTCTGGGCTCGAATGTTATTGCTCTACGACAACACTCTTGTTAACCATGTCCCAGCGCCATATGATTCTATATAACCTTCAACTCCACTTTGACTGAGAGAACTGGAGACTTTGGATACCAGAGGTGCAGGAACCTAATTAGACATCCCAAATACTTAGTTATCTGCTAGCTTTGTGCCCAGATGGGCCATATTTAAAGGATTAGAGGTCTAAGCTTTCTTGCACAAAGATATGATACTTGACTTAAAAAATGTTAAGGACATATACTACAACTAAGGTTGATAACAAGCATTAATAACAATGACCATTAAAAAATGATAGTTAGGGGTGCCTGGGTGGCTCAGTCATTAAGTATCTGCCTTCAGCTCAGGTCGTGATTCCAGGGTCCTGAGATCGAGCCCCGCATCTGGCTCCCTGCTGGGTGGGAAGCCTGTTTCTCCCTCTCCTACTCCCCCTGCTTGTGTTCCCTCTCTCATTGTCTCTCTGTCAAATAAATGAATAAAATCTTTTGAAAAAATGATAGCACATATTGAATACTTACTATATACCCAGAATTATTTAACAAAGAGAACTATTATTATCTCCATTTGATAGGAAACTGAGGCACAGAAACTAAGGCACAGAATGGCTACGTAACTTCCCAAGGTTACATAGCTAGTCAGTGGTAGTCGAAATTCAAATTCCATCAGCTTGCCTCCAGAGTCTCTGTTTTTACCCTCTACACAATAAAGCCTTTTGGAACAAATAATCTTGGTATTAACCCATTAGATCATGCCATTTTAAATGAAGCTGCATATTGACAGGACACAGTGACAGCAAAAAGCACTCTTTAAGTAATTGGAAGGGGTTATACTTCTCCAGAAATGACAGGAAACAGATTAACAAAGTCCTCAAAGCAGGAGAATTTTACCGTTGTTTGAAGGTAAGTTCTATCCCTTAGTAATTTGACTTTTGGATACAAGAACTTAATATTTCTATATGGTTTTCCCTGTTAAATAGCAAAACTTACCTTAAAACAACGGTGAAAAGTCTCCAGCTTCTCTCAGGCTTTCAAATGCTGACCATCACTTCCTGTGTCAAACTATGTCAGCAGACAGGACTTCTGGCTGGGAAGTAGCAGTAAAATGCCATCTCCCACAGAGAGACATCAGCACTATTCACAGTCAGGGAGATAGTGAAACAGTGACAAGTACTGCTAAAACATGGTTAAGGTTTGTTTAGTTTCTACCTAGCGTAAAGACTGGGAGTTCGAACTAGATTTTACATGTTGGCTTATCAAGGACAAATTATTAAAGACAGTCTTTCATTTCTCAGCCATAACACGGACACGCTGTCTCCCTAGCACACTGAAAAGAGGGTCTTTTACTTTAAAAATACAAGGTAAAAATGTGAATAAAAGAAAACCTTTAAGTTGTGCCAGTAAGGTTATCCTAACTCTTAGGCAAAGGCTGAGAAGTTTTCTAGACTAGAAATCATATGGTCTTAAAAGATGCCTAGAATATGTAGCCAGAGATATAGGAAATCATGCTGTTATGAAGGGCAACACACACATCAAAACCAAAACCAAAACCAAACCAAACAAAAAAACACCTGCAAAACAAATCTAAAAACTCACAGATCACGAGGTCCCTAGCAGTAAGGGAGCAAAAAGCACCTTTTTCTCAGGGACGATTTACCATTTCTTTTAGCATTATCTCAAGACCTAATGGTAGCACATTAAAGAAGTCTAGCCGTTGGCAAGACTTCTGGGTTTATTTCAGATCGACACCTGCCACATTAAACACTATAAAACCACATGTGATCATTACGGTGGGGAGGGAAAGATCCGTATTATTCAAAATGTAGACTGTGTTTATTTGCAACCTATGGATATAACAGGTAATGACAACATACCTTGTAAAGCTTTTGGATATGCTGTAGGAGAAAGCAAGCAGACTAGTGGCTGTCCAAATAAGTTTGTGAAATTCTGTAACATATAAGAATTTAAAACTTTCATTAAAAATTTGACTAAAGATGGTTACTCAAGTAATTTTCCAAAGCACGTCATTAGTGTATATAGGGCCCTTTTACTCATAAGCAGATGCAGAAACATCAGTAACAGCTGAACAGACTGCCATCCATGTATAACTACCATGCGTAATAAGCGTTCTTAAAATGGTGAAGTTTACTAAAAATAAACTATTGACTTCTAAAATAAAGGCATACAAATAGTTGCAGTGTTATAGGGAGAGGTCATCTGGCTGTCTGTCAAGAGACCACCCCAAAGGGTGATATACACCAATATTTACAAGTGTGGATTTTCCAAGCTCTAGAATCTGGCTCTCCACCTCGAAGGTTCTAAAACCTGACTTGCTGGGAAGCAATCAGAGAAGACTGCAATCATTTCTCATTGTGAACCAAATTAACTACTCAAACAGAATGACGTATAAAACCAGAATGTCAATAGGTTAATGTACACTGAGGATTAAAGCTGATACAAACACTAGAACACTGTTTGACTAAGGATATCCATTCTCTAAAGGATGGAAAGACACAATATGCTCTTAGAGAGAAACCCATTCTAAAGATATTATTACAACTAATTTATGGAAATTTGAACCAACCTCAATAAAAATGGCCACAGCTATTTTTTCCTACAACTGAAAAAAATAATTCTAAAGTTCATATGGGAAAAGTAGATTAGCCAGGAAAGCTCTGAAAAAGAAGAACAAAGAGAGGGAACTAGACTCATGAGATATTGAAACATACTTTAAAGCCTCAGTAACTAAAAATACGTGGCACTGGTGTTAAGAGTAGGCAGAAGACTAATGGAAGAGAACAAAGAATCCAAAATTAGACCCTCAAACAGGTAAGACTTCAGTATATATGATAAAGATGATAGGTCAAATTAGGACATAGGAAAATTTGGCTTAGTTGCAAGAGCATGGCATATGTGCAACTCTTGATCTCAGAGTCATGAGTTCGAGTCACATGTTGGGTGTAGAGATTACATAAAATAAATGAACAAAATAAAATTCTGAAGAAAGTGGGAAAATCTAATGGCTAGATGGCTATCCAGTAGGGGAAAAAACTGGATAGCCATCTAGAAAAAAGTTGGCTCCATACTTTGCACCATACATGGATAATTCCAAATATATTAAAGATTTAAATGTAAAAAAAATTAAGAAAGAAAAGTGCTGAAAGAAAATAAAGCTTTTTTTTAAATAATCTAGAAGATCTTCCTATTATGATTAAGATTAATAGACCACGGGATGCCTGGCTGGCTCAGTTGGAAAAGCAAGCAACACTAGATCTTAGGGTAAAAAATTCAAGCCCAATATTGGATGTAAAGATTACTAAAAATATATATAAATAAACTTTAAAAAGATTAATAAACCCAGTTATAAAATCAAAGGCTTGTGCATAGTAAAATACAGCGTAAGCTAAATCAAAAGCAAAATGATGAACTGGGGAAAATATTTGCAAGGTACATTACAAAGATTAAGCTCCTTAATATAGAAAGAGCTTCTCCAAACCCACAAGAAACAGACCACTGATCCAACAGAAAAATGAGTGGAAGATAACAAGGAATTCACAGAAAAGGGAATACAACTGGCTCAAATACATGAAAAGACGTTACAATATCACTTTTTAACCTACCAGTTTAGCAAAATTTCCAAAAGCTTGAGAATATATACTACTGGCAAGAATATGGGGATACAAATACTCATATGTAGATGATAGGAGTATAAACTGGAACAAATTCTTTAGAAGACAATTTGACAGTACCTATATTCCATTAATGCAGGAATTCTACAACTAAAAATTTATACTACCAATAAATTCTCAAACCTGTGAATAACATTAAGCCCAAATTTACTCCTTGCAGCACTGGTAGTAACAGGAAAGATTAGAAACAACCAAATGACCAGCAACGAGGGATTGGTAAAATAAATTTTGGCACAACCATACGATGGAGTACTATGCAGTTATTTAAAAAAAAAACAAAAAAAAGAACAAAGAAGTTCTTTATGAAGGGATATGGAAAGAACTCCAACACTTTTTTTTTTTTTTAAAGATTTTATTTATTTATTTGACAGAGAGATCACAAGTAGGCAGAGAGGCAGGCAGAGAGAGAGAGAGGAGGAAGCAGGCTCCCTGCTGAGCAGAGAGCCCGACGCGGGACTCGATCCCAGGACCCTGAGATCATGACCTGAGCCGAAGGCAGTGGCTTAATCCACTGAGCCACCGAGGTGCCCTGTTTGTTTGTTTTTTGAGGAAGAGAGAGAGAATCTTAACCAGGCTCCATGCCCAGCATGGAGCCCAATGCAGGGTTTGATCTCAAGACCCTCAGATCATGACCTGAGGCAAAATCAAGAGTTGGACGCTTAACTGACTGAGCCACTCAGGCACCCCTCCAACATTTCTCACTAAGTGGAAACAAAGTAAGCTATAGAACAGTTGTATGTAGCATGTTACTGCCACTTATATAGCTAAGAAAACTAAAGCCTATATATTTGTTTTGGCTTACATATATGTTTTAAAAAATTCTAGAAGGATAAACAAGAAACAAAAGTCATTATCCAGAGAGAGAGAAAGAGAGAGAGAGAAACTTAGTGAACTGAGACTGGGAGGGTTAAGGGGTATCATAGTAAGCCTTTTGGAAATTTTTGATTTTGTGACTTTGTGAATATCATATCAATATAAAAAAAATTAAACAAGTAAATTCATAATTTCTTGCAATCAAAACAAAGGGAGTAAGTAGAATGATATTAAGGAACATTTTTCAGATTAAGGCACCTTGAGCCATTTATCTACACTGAGAGACGGCCTTCTGGATCTTTGGCCATGATACTCTTATTCTTGGATAGTGCTGGGATGCAGATGGCCTTATTTATGTTCCAAGGTCTCCTTTTTCTTTGCTTCCCTTGTTGATCAACCTTTCTCTTCTTCTTCCTTTTTTTTTTTTTTTAAATACTGTATGGAGACAGTTGCTTAACAAGCCTGACTGCTATCTTTTCAAAGTCTGCTTACAAACTTTGACACCCTGCTTACAAGGCTGGTGGTAGGCTGGCTTCTGGGGACTTAGATTTGAGGAGGGTTCCCACCATTAGCAGAACTAGTAAGAGCAGTTTCCTTTCCCTGGACATTATAAACAACATGGTTTATGCTGAGCACCTGCTTTTTTTCTGGGAGAGTGGCATTTTAATATGTGCCAGGCAGAGGGTGCCTACACAATGAGTCCCCAGTGAAAACCCCGGGCACCGAGTCCCTAGTGAGCCTTGCTGGTAGACATGTTACCCATGTCATCTCACTTGCTGCCAGAAGAACTGAGTGCATCCTCTGTGACTTCACTGGGAGAGGCCTCTTGGAAGTTTGTGCCTGCTTTTCTCTGGACTTGATCGCATGTACCTTTTTCTTTTGAGATTTTGCTCTGTATCCTTTACTGTGATAAATCTTAGTAGCGAGTGTGATTATATGCTGAGAATTACCAGTTCTCATGAATAGCTGAGCCGGGGTGGGGGGGGGCGCTGACCTTGGGGACCTCTGACTTCTTCCTATCAGATTATATTTAAATATTAGGTCTGGGAAACAGTTTCTTTGAGATTCCTTGCACATCTCTAGTCTAACCCATTTGGTATTCAATTTTATAGTGTAACTCCCATAGTATTATATTATTTTCTTTATTTTCAAGTTTTTGGGAATGTCTCATAATTGCCCCCATATAGGGATTATATGATTTAATGCTATTAAGGCAGATGCTTAAGGGATGAGCCACCCAGGTGCACCTCAATGCTTTTTAAAAGATTTTATTAATTTATTTGACAGAGAAAGAGTGAGAGAGCACAAGCAGGGGGAGCAGCAGGCAAAGGGAGAAGCAGGCTCCCCACTGAGCAAGGAGCCCAACTTGGGGCTCAATCCCTGGACCCTGGGACCATGTCCTGAGCCAAAGGCACAGGCTTAAATGACTGAACCACCCAGGCACCCCTCTCTCTTTTCAATATTTACACTTCTTACTAGTCTGGACAGCCTTTTTCATTGCTTTATTTTGGGAATGTTAAACAATTCTGGTCAGGACTAAAATAAGATCAATCACAAGGATGATAGCACTCTCTTTTTCTTGCTTATTTTAACTGAGAATACTTTTAATGTTTCTCACTCAGAGTCCAAAATTGGTGACTTAGTATAGTACCTTTTCATCATAAGCTGAGTTTTTTTTGTTTTTTTTTTTTTAATTAAGAATGGGTACTGGGGGGGCGCCTGGGTGGCTCAGTGGGTTAAAGCCTCTGCCTTCGGCTCGGGTCATGATCCCGGGGTCCTGGGATCGAGCCCCACATCGGGCTCTCTGCTCGACGGGGAGCCTGCTTCCTCCTCTCTCTCTGTGTCCTCTGCCTACTTGTAATCTCTGTCTGTCAAATAAATAAATAAATAAATAAATAAATAAATAAATAAATAAATAAATAAAAAGGGTACTGGGGAGGTGGGTGCCTGGGTGGCTTGGTTGTTGGGCGTCTGCTTTCGGCTCAGGCCGTGATCCAAGGATCCTGGGATCGAACCCCACATTGGGCTCCCTGCTCAGCGGGAAGCCTGCTTCTCCCTTTCCCACTCCCCCTGGTTCTGTTCCCTCTCTCGCTGTGTCTCTCTCCGTCAAATAAATAAAATCTTAAAAAAAAAAAAAAAAAAAAAAAGAATGAGTACTGGGGGGATGCCTGGGTGGTGCAGTCGGTTAAGTGTCTGACTCTTGGTTTTGGCAAGGTTGTGATCTCAGGGTCATAGGATGGAGCCTCAAGTGGGGCTCCATGCTCAGCATGGGTGTCTGTCTTCCCCTCCCTTTACCCCCACCACCACCACATTCTCTCTCTAAAATAAATAAATAAATCTTAAAAAAAAAAAAAAAAGTTTGTACTCAGGGCACCTTGGTGGCTTAGTTGATTAAGTGTCCAACCCTTGAATTTGGCTCAGGTCATGATCTCAGGTTCCTGGGAC